CACACAGCCGAATGTGTCAGGAGTAATTAATTTTCAAACTTTATGATGAGTGACCGCTTTTTTGACGGCCAGATTCAATCACTTAAGACGGCCATGACCTTTCACCTGTCTGCGGACAAGGTCCGTCTGTTTACAATTTGAGAACCGCAAGTGGAAACAACTGGCAACCAACACCGGGGTTCCGTTGGCAGTGACCTTGACCTTTGGTAGCATTAAGAATCTCAATTTAAAGCTCCCCACCCTCCCACCAAGCCCTACATCCAACTATCAGCAACGTGTTTGTACACTAAGTGTAAACACACACAGATACGATACAAGCTTTCATTGGCTAAATTTAGATACACAAAAATGTATTGGCTAAATTTAGATACACAAAAATGTAAATAATGTGTTAAAAATAAAATTAAAATAATATATATATATATATATATATATATATATATATATATATATATATATATATATAATGTATATATATATATGTATATGTATGTATCGGTCGTATATATTGTGCATTGAATTTTCCTTTCGGCGAGATGTCTTCATATGGGCTAGAAGTTTTGTATTTTTGAAACACCGTCTTATAGTATTGTATGTTTTGTTTTGTTTAAACATATTCTACTAATTAAGAAATCTAACAATCCCGAGCATTCCCTTCCTCTGGTATCGATTCTCTCGAGACCTACTAACGAGGTCAGAGGTCAGGTTCCACCAGCCGTAGCCCAGTTCCCCAGGTAAGTCCCGCCAACACCTTGACTCACCGATGGTACCACAACAAACCAACAAGTCGCGCCGTCTGGAACTAGGTAGTTCTGGCAGCCTCTACTGGAACACCTGCGGCACTAGGTAGACTCAGGTGAAAACATCAACAATCCAGGTAGGTGCAAGTGGCCGCCTCTGTAGGGGGGGGGGGGCGAGGTCTGATCACTGACCTTCAGGTGAGAGAAGGGGAGCGAGCAAGATTGCTGACTGACCTTCACGTTTGTCATCTGGTCACTGACCTTCAAGTTTGTCATCTATTCACTGACCTTCAAGTTTGTCATCTATTCACTGACCTTCAAGTTTGTCATCTATTCACTGACCTTCAAGCTTGGTCATCTGGTCAATGACCTTCAAGCTTGTCATCTGGTCACTGACCTTCAATCTTGTCATCTTGTCAATGACCTTCAAGCTTGTCATCTGGTCACTGACCTTCAATCTTGTCATCTTGTCAATGACCTTCAAGCTTGTCATCTTTTCACTGACCTTCACGCTTGTCATCTGGCCACTGACCTTCACGCTTGTCATCTAGTCACTGACCTTCAAGCTTGTCATCTGTAACTGACCTTCAAGTTTGTCATCTGTTCACTGACCTTCAAGCTTGTCATCTGGTCAATGACCTTCTGTGTGCAGGCTAAATAACAGTCACATGACAGCCCCTCTACAGTTTGAAGAATGCTACTCCTATTTTCTGCTTAACAACAATGTGGAAACTGACTTTTTTTCTGTGTTTTTTTTTCCTGTGACTTTTTCCTGTGACCTTTTCCTGTGACTTTTTTCCTGTGACTTTTTTCCTGTGACTTTTTCTGTTGTTTTTTTCCTGTGACTTTTCCTGTGACTTTTTTCCTGTGACTTTTTTCCTGTGACTTTTATCCTGTGACTTTTTTCCTGTGACTTTTTTTCCTACAATCAATGATGTCACCCCCGAGTGACGCCCCTACAGTTAGGTTAGGTTTGATTGCTCCGAACATCCGTAGATGTTTAAACACTAGTCAAAATAAAAACCAAAAGAAAAATAATAATTGAATATAACTTGAAAAAAGTAGAATTCTCTAGATCCAAATATATGACAAGGCACACTGCCAGTAGAAAATTCTGGAGCTGAAATCAGCGTTAGTCACGGTCCATTGAACCCAGCCATGTGATGCTGGCCTCGATCTGCTAAAGTCTGTGTTGTAAACTGCGCACATATCGATGACGTCATGATTAGTCAGTTGGCTGTCGTGAGAAAAATCAGACAAAAATTTTTTGGAACATTTCCGTTAGTCATTGATACCGCGTCATACAACATTCGTTAAACCAGTAATATAAGATGATATACAGACAGATGATATAAAATATACCAGTAATATAAGATGATATACAGACAGATGATATAAAATATACCAGTAATATAAGATGATATACAGACAGATGATATAAAATATACCAGTAATATAAGATGATATACAGAAAGATGATATAAAATACATCTATAGTATTAGATGATATACAGTTCGATAACAAACAAGTAGATGATCATCACTCACCCAGTCAAGTTGATCACCACTCACCAAGTCAAGTTGATCATCACTCACCAAGTCAAGTTGATCATCACTCACCCATTCAAGTTGATCATCACTCACCAAGTCAAGTTGATCATCACTCACCCAGTCAAGTTGATCATCACTCACCCATTCAATTGATCATCACTCACCTAGTCAAGTTGATCATCACTCACCAAGTCAAGTTGATCACCACTCACCCAGTCAAGTTGATCACCACTTACCCAGTCAAGTTGATCATCACTCACCAAGTCAAGTTGATCATCACTCACCCAGTCAAGTTGATCATCACTCACCCATTCAATTGATCATCACTCACCTAGTCAAGTTGATCATCACTCACCAAGTCAAGTTGATCACCACTTACCCAGTCAAGTTGATCATCACTCACCCAGTCAAGTTGATCATCACTCACCAAGTCAAGTTGAGTGATGTAACTTGGGACTGAGCCGAACAATAAGGAAAAAAAAAGAAATCATTTTGTGTATGTATGTATGTATGTAAGTATGTTTTGGAAACGACACCTGGTGCAGCAAACAAAAATATTTGAATCATTAGGAGCGGAATCTCTTTCCCCGTTGTTTGGCTCGTTAGCCAGAAGGTTCTGTGAGTTCCTTCCCTTTGTGTTAGCGCATACGTCAGTTTTATGGTCGAGATTACATCTCTCTGTCACATAAGTTTCCTGCCGCCATTTTATCTGTTCCCCCCACCCCCACATCCCACATCACATCCCACACATCCACACACGAAGCTTTATCTGACGTACAACGTGTGTTTGTCTGTTACATTCAAGTTGTGTGAGTCCATCGACATTGACATTTACAGTTTCAAAGTTGATCGACGTCTGGTCAAAACAAAGTTGATTGACGTCTGGTCAAAACAAAGTTGATTGACGTCTGGTCAAAACAAAGTTGATTGACGTCTGGTCAAAACAAAGTTGATTGACGTCTGGTCAGTTCAAAATAAAGTTGATTGACGTCTGGTCAAAACAAAGTTGATTGACGTCTGGTCAATTCAAAACAAAGTTGATTGACGTCTGGTCAAAACAAAGTTGATTGACGTCTGGTCAAAACAAAGTTGATTGACGTCTGGTCAAAACAAAGTTGATTGACGTCTGGTCAGTTCAAAATAAAGTTGATTGACGTCTGGTCAAAACAAAGTTGATTGACGTCTGGTCAATTCAAAACAAAGTTGATTGACGTCTGGTCAAAACAAAGTTGATTGACGTCTGGTCAAAACAAAATTGATTGACGTCTGGTCAAAACAAAGTTGATTGACATCTGGTCAAAACAAAGTTGATTGACGTCTGGTCAAAACAAAGTTGATTGACGTCTGGTCAAAACAAAGTTGATTGACGTCTGGTCAAAACAAAGTTGATTGACGTCTGGTCAAAACAAAGTTGATTGACGTCTGGTCAATTTAAAACAAAGTTGATTGACGTCTGTTCAAACAAAGTTTATTGACGTCTGGTCAGTTCAAATTGTTTGACCGTTGTATGGCCGCCGCATGTAGTTGTCAAAACAATACCGTCTGCTGATGTCTTTTTTTCATGTTTGAAATCTTTGGAGGTACTCAGGTCTTGTCGTCTTGAAGTCTTTGACGTCACGTTATTGACGTCACTAACGTCTAGTTGTTGACGTCACTAACGTCTAGTTGTTGACGTCACTAACGTCTTGACTGATGTTTGAGATCAGCACATCTCTGCCACAACGTGGCGGATTAATTCACGTTAAAGATGGCGGCGTTTGGGGTGACACACGGTCCAAATTTTTTCCTCGGGTCAATTAAACCCTCACTACACACACACACGCACACACACACACATACACACACATACATACACACACACAGACCTACATTGAGTAGTATATCTGCTGAACCCTCCCTACACACACGCACACACACACACATACATACACACACACACAGACCTACATTGAGCAGTAGATCTGTTGAACCCTCCCTACACACACGCACACACACACACATACATACACACACACAGACCTACATTGAGCAGTAGATCTGTTGAACATCGGCACTGATGCGTGTTTGGCCGACTGAAGAGAAAAACTTGTCTCGATGTTTTTGTCTGTTAAATCATTCTTTCAAGGGCGTCTTGTTTTCTTTTTACTTTTGGTTTGTGGAAATACAAAAACTTGGGACAAAAAAAATGTCCACGTTTTGTTAAAGATTTTTTTACGTATTTAAAATCCTTGAGTCAGATGTGGAATTGAGGTTAGGTGAGGTGAGGGAAGGAAAGCGGTGGGGGGAGGGGGGGGGGAGCAGGAGTCACCGGCCAGAAATCTCAGACCTAAAGGAATATCGATCAATTTATTACGCATGTACGTGTATTGAAGTTCCAATCATATACACACATATACATACATATACATACAAATACACACAGATACACACCACTGACCATATACAGATGGGAACTCACTCACATACCGCCTAACTTATATTTATATATTCACGTATATATATATATATATATATATATATATATATATATATATATATATATATATATATATATATATATATATATATATATATATATATATATATATTTGTGTTCGTGTGTGGGTATATGTTTTTGGGCAGCTTTAGGGCACAGTGTAGGCAGTTTACTGACTGTGTACCGACATGTTTTTGTTTATTTGTCTTAGTCTACCACACAAAGCCACTGTGATGTCCCTAGACAGCAAGAACATCAGGAGGCGTAACTCTTCCAGTAAAAAGTAAGTACGAGTTGCTGGTCTTGACCTAGTCATGACAGAAAAAATAAATATTTAATGCACCTGGAGCGTCTTTACTCAGGGTGGAAGGAGAGGGGGCATGGAGGAGCCACTCACTCGAACATGTTTGGGGGTGGGTGACGGGCGGTTGATGTTTGGGTGGTGGGGCGGCTTTTAGTTGGGGATAGGGTGGGGGTGGGGTGGAAGGATGAGTCTCTCTTGTGGTTGGGCGAGGTTTTTAGGAGGGCGGGCAGGGGAGGCGATCGAGGTCGATTATTACTTTAAAAATGCAAACCAAAAATTGGGGGGAGGGGGGGACTGTGCTAAGAGTTAAACATTCAGTAGAGGGGAACTAGGGAGTATAGCGTGGATCAGAGTGGAACTAGGGAGTATAGCGTGGATCTTAGGATCAGAGGGGAACTAGGGAGTATAGCGTGGGTCAGAGGGGAACTAGGGAGTATAGCGTGGATCTTAGGATCAGAGGGGAACTAGGGAGTATAGCGTGGGTCAGAGGGGAACTAGGGAGTATAGCGTGGATCAGAGAGGAACTAGGGAGTATAGCGTGGGTCTTGGGATCAGAGGGGAACTAGGGAGTATAGCGTGGATATTGGGATCAGAGGGGAACTAGGGAGTATAGCGTGGATCAGAGGGGAACTAGGGAGTATAGCGTGGGTCTTGAGATCAGAGGGGAACTAGTGAGTATAGCGTGGATCAGAGGGGAACTAGGGAGTATAGCGTGGATCTTAGGATCAGAGGGGAACTAGGGAGTATAGCGTGGGTCAGAGGGGAAATAGGGAGTATAGCGTGGATCAGAGGGGAACTAGGGAGTATAGCGTGGATCAGAGGGGAACTAGGGAGTATAGCGTGGATCAGAGGGGAACTAGGGAGTATAGCGTGGATCAGAGGGGAACTAGGGAGTATAGCGTGGATCAGAGGGGAACTAGGGAGTATAGCGTGGATCAGAGGGGGACTAGGGAGTATAGCGTGGATCAGAGGGGAACTAGGGAGTATAGCGTGGATCTTGGGATCAGAGGGGAACTAGGGAGTATAGCGTGGATCAGAGGGGAACTAGGGAGTATAGCGTGGATCAGAGGGGAACTAGGGAGTATAGCGTGGATCAGAGGGGAACTAGGGAGTATAGCGTGGATCAGAGGGGAACTAGGGAGTATAGTGTGGATCAGAGGGGAACTAGGGAGTATAGCGTGGATCTTGGGATCAGAGGGGAACTAGGGAGTATAGCGTGGATCAGAGGGGAACTAGGGAGTATAGCGTGGATCTTGGGATCAGAGGGGAACTAGGGAGTATAGCGTGGATCAGAGGGGAACTAGGGAGTATAGTGTGGATCAGAGGGGAACTAGGGAGTATAGCGTGGATCTTGGGATCAGAGGGGAACTAGGGAGTATAGCGTGGATCAGAGGGGAACTAGGGAGTATAGCGTGGATCAGAGGGGAACTAGGGAGTATAGCGTGGATCAGAGGGGAACTAGGGAGTATAGCGTGGATCAGAGGGGAACTAGGGAGTATAGCGTGGATCAGAGGGGAACTAGGGAGTATAGCGTGGATCAGAGGGGAACTAGGGAGTATAACGTGGATCTTGGGATCAGAGGGGAACTAGGGAGTATAACGTGGATCTTGGGATCAGAGGGGAACTAGGGAGTATAGCGTGGATCTTGGGATCAGAGGGGAACTAGGGAGTATAGCGTGGATCTTGGGATCAGAGGGGAACTAGGGAGTATAGCGTGGATCTTGGGATCAGAGGGGAACTAGGGAGTATAGCGTGGATCAGAGGGGAACTAGGGAGTATAGCGTGGATCTTAGGATCAGAGGGGAACTAGGGAGTATAGCGTGGATCAGAGGGGAACTAGGGAGTATAGCGTGGATCTTGGGATCAGAGGGGAACTAGGGAGTATAGTGTGGATCAGAGGGGAACTAGGGAGTATAGCGTGGATCAGAGGGGAACTAGGGAGTATAGCGTGGATCTTGGGATCAGAGGGGAACTAGGGAGTATAGCGTGGATCTTGGGATTAGAGGGGAACTAGGGAGTATAGCGTAGATCAGAGGGGAACTAGGGAGTATAGCGTGGGTCAGAGGGGAACTAGGGAGTATAACGTGGGTCAGAGGGGAACTAGGGAGTATAGCGTGGATCAGAGGGGAACTAGGGAGTATAGCGTGGATCTTGGGATCAAAGTATTGTGGACGTTTACATGTGGGGATGGCCCACTATGGAATGAACATTTACAGGTTGGCTTAGAATGGACATTTACAAGTTTTAAAATGCCCGGAATCGTTTTTTTTTAACTTTCTGTTTTTCTTTTCTTCCAAAACCACCACTACATTGTTATACACCCCCCGTACCACCACTACTCCACAATACTAGCTCCTCACCCCCCCCCCCCCACCCCCTGCATAATTTGTTGGCTTCTGTTTTTTCTTACAGTCACGAGGTAGCAAAGATCCACCTCGAAGTTCCATCCCCCCCCCCATCCTCAGGGGAAAGGCCTCCCCTCACCTTCCCAGTTATTTGTTGTAATAAACATCCCCCACCCCCACCCCCCTACACCTGACCTTTGTACTCACACCGAGGCCATCTCGACACGGTGTGTTTTAAAGCCAGCACCCCCCCCCCCCTCCCCTGCCATAGACGCAGCCAATGTAAAAGACATACCTAGGCTGGGCTGCTGAGGTGAGTGTCGCTACTGCTGCAGACATTATGTGGAGGTGTGGTGGTCAGCTGGTCAATGGTACAGCGTCCTACAGGTGTCCGTCATCTTCAAATACATCCAACATTTTACCGTCATCTTCAAATACATCCAACATTTTACCGCCATCTTATAAAACATCCAAAATTTTACCGCCATCTTATAAAACATTCAACATTTTACCGCCATCTCATAAAACATTCAACATTTTACCGCCATCTTATAAAACATATATTATATATAAGCATATACACACATAGGCCTACTTACAAAAACACATCCATACACACTTACATTCCCACAAATATATAGACCTATACCCACACAAAAATATATACCCATACCCACACAAATATATAGACCCATACTCACACAACTATTTAGACCTATAGCCACACAAATATATAGACCTATAGCCACACAAATATATAGACCTATAGCCACACAAATATATAGACCCATACCCACACAAATATATAGACCTATAGCCACACAAATATATAGACCTATAGCCACACAAATATATAGACCTATAGCCACACAAATATATAGACCTATAGCCACACAAATATATAGACCTACACCCACACAAATATATAGACCCATACCCACACAAATATATAGACCTATAGCCACACAAATATATAGACCTATAGCCACACAAATATATAGACCTATAGCCACACAAATATATAGACCCATAGCCACACAAATATATAGACCTATACCCACACAAATATATAGACCTATAGCCACACAAATATATAGACCTATAGTCACACAAATATATAGACCTATAGCCACACAAATATATAGACCTATAGTCACACAAATATATAGACCTATACCCACACAAATATATAGACCTATAGCCACACAAATATATAGACCTATAGCCACACAAATATATAGACCTATAGCCACACAAATATATAGACCTATAGCCACACAAATATATAGACCTATAGCCACACAAATATATAGACCTATACCCACACAAATATATAGACCTATACCCACACAAATATATAGACCTATAGCCACACAAATATATAGACCTATAGCCACACAAATATATAGACCTATAGCCACACAAATATATAGACCTATACCCACACAAATATATAGACCCACACAAATATATAGACCTATACCCACACAAATATATAGACCTACACCCACACAAATATATAGACCTATAGCCACACAAATATATAGACCTATAGCCACACAAATATATAGACCTATACCCACACAAATATATAGACCTATACCCACACAAATATATAGACCTATAGCCACACAAATATATAGACCTATAGCCACACAAATATATAGACCTATAGCCACACAAATATATAGACCCATACCCACACAAATATATAGACCCATACCCACACAAATATATAGACCTATAGCCACACAAATATATAGACCTATAGCCACACAAATATATAGACCCATACCCACACAAATATATAGACCTATAGCCACACAAATATATAGACCTATACCCACACAAATATATAGACCTATAGCCACACAAATATATAGACCCATACCCACACAAATATATAGACCTATAGCCACACAAATATATAGACCCATACCCACACAAATATATAGACCTATAGCCACACAAATATATAGACCTATACCCACACAAATATATAGACCCATACCCACACAAATATATAGACCTATAGCCACACAAATATATAGACCTATAGCCACACAAATATATAGACCCATACCCACACAAATATATAGACCTATAGCCACACAAATATATAGACCCATACCCACACAAATATATAGACCTATAGCCACACAAATATATATACTTATACCCACACAAATATATAGACCTATAGCCACACAAATATATAGACCTATAGCCACACAAATATATAGACCTATAGCCACACAAATATATAGACCTATAGCCACACAAATATATAGACCTATACCCACACAAATATATAGACCTATACCCACACAAATATATAGACCTATAGCCACACAAATATATAGACCTATAGCCACACAAATATATAGACCTATAGCCACACAAATATATAGACCTATACCCACACAAATATATAGACCTATAGCCACACAAATATATAGACCTATACCCACACAAATATATAGACCTATAGCCACACAAATATATAGACCTATACCCACACAAATATATAGACCTATAGCCACACAAATATATAGACCTATACCCACACAAATATATAGACCTATAGCCACACAAATATATACCACCACCTAGTGTTACCTACTGAAACACCAATTCTATCAGGGAGAAAAAGACCACCGACATTTAAAGACAGGCTTTGATTGCTAACAACAAATTGGAATGGAAGACCCCATTAGCTAGTCGGATTGATTCCTGTCGGATTAAGTTGCCCCCGTAGCCTATTTTAAAATTACTCAACACTTTGGTTCATTAACTAGCAGCCAGGTAGCTGGGGGTGGAGGGGCGGTGGGGAATTCAACTCCCTTCCTCCCCCACCCCCAATAATGTATTTTTATTGACACTACAGTTTTTGTTTCCGCCGAATCACCGCTGCTGTCAAGTCACCTGTCAAGTCATCTGTCAAGTCACCTGTCAAGTCATCTGTTAAGTCACCTGTCAAGTCATCTGTCAAGTCACCTGTCAAGTCATCTGTTAAGTCACCTGTCAAGTCATCTGTTAAGTCACCTGTCAAGTCATCTGTCAAGTCACCTGTCAAGTCACCTGTCAAGTCACTTGTCAAGTCACCTGTCAAGTCACCTGTCAAGTCACCTGTCAAGTCACCTGTCAAGTCATCTGTCAAGTCACCTGTCAAGTCATCTGTCAAGTCACCTGTCATGTCATCTGTTAAGTCACCTGTCAAGTCACATGTCAAGTCACCTGTTAAGTCACCTGTCGTCATCTGTCAAGTCATCTGTCAAGTCACCTGTCAAGTCACCTGTCAAGTCATCTGTCAAGTCACCTGTCAAGTCATCTGTCAAGTCATCTGTCAAGTCACCTGTTAAGTCACCTGTCAAGTCACCTGTCAAGTCACATGTCAAGTCATCTTTCAAGTCACCTGTCAAGTCACCGCTGCTGTTCCTTCCATTTTTTCAGGATCCGTGAGCATCGTCGGTCCATGGAGCAGGGTAGGGGGGAGGGGGAAGGAGGGGGGAGGGGGCAGGAGGGGGGAGGGGGCAGGGTCGGGGGACCACCCAGGTACCGGAATCACCTGTCGGGTGGTCTCATGGGTGTAAGAGAGCGAGGCCAGGGACTCAACCAACACCTTGGTCTACCACAACCACATCAACCACATCAACCACATCAACCACATCAACCACATCAGCCACATCAGCCACATCAACCACATCAGCCACATCAGCCACATCAGACACATCAACCTCATCAACCACATCATCCACATCAACCACATCAACCACATCATCCACATCAACCACATCAGCCACATCAACCACATCAACCACATCAACCACATCAGCCACATCAGCCACATCAGACACATCAACCTCATCAACCACATCAACCACATCAACCGTATAAACCACATCAACCACATCAACCACATCAACAACATCAACCACATCGACCACATCAACCACATCAACCACATCAACAACATCAACCACATCAATCACATCAACCACATCAACCACATCAATCACATCAACCACATCAACCGTATAAACCACATCAACCACATCAACCACATCAACCACATCGACCACATCAACCACATCAGCCACATCAACCACATCAATCACATCAACCACATCAACCACATCAACCACGTCGACCACATCAACCACATCAGCCACATCAACCACATCAATCACATCAACCACATCAACCACATCAATCACATCAACCACATCGACCACATCAACCACATCAGCCACATCAACCACATCGACCACATCGACCACATCGACCACATCGACTACATCAACCACATCAACCACATCGACTACATCAACCACATCAACCACATCAACCACATCAACCACATCGACCACATCCATCACATCGACCACATCGACCACATCAACCACATCGACCACATCAACCATTCACCAACACCATAGATGTCTGTCTACGGCATGTCTGTCCATTGAATTTCTGTATAGTGGATGTCTGTCTTTAGAATGCATTTCCATTGAAAAGTCTGCCTTGTGAATGTCTTGTAAATGTCTTGTGAATGTCTTGTGAATGTCTTGTGAATGTCTTGTGAATGTCTCTCTTGTGAATGTCTCTCTTGTGAATGTCTCTCTTGTGAATGTCTCTCTTGTGAATGTCTCTCTTGTGAATGTCTGTCTTGTGGATGTCTGTCTTGTGGATGTCTGTTGTAGCGATGCCTGTTCTGAGCGCCTAGTGTTGATATCTGCTACACCACTGATTCCCAAACAAGATAAACTAACTCAATTTCGGCGTCACCGTGTCGCTATGGCAACGGTAGCCAGAAGAAAGACGGCGGAAATAAGGTACTTCCATTGTTGTAGTGATCGTGTTTCTGCGCGCTACCTCGCTCAGCGGGGAAACGATAGGGTGATAATTGAGTTAGTGATGTGAATAGACTTTGGTAATAGAATTATTACATCGTGTTAGTAATGTGAATAGACTTTGGTAATATAATTATTACATCGAGTTAGTGATGTGAATAGACTTTGGTAATAGAATTATTACATCGAGTTAGTAATGTGAATAGACTTTGGTAATAGAATTATTACATCGAGTTAGTGATGTGAATAGCTAGACAATAATTAAACTACTGGGTCATAACAATCAGCAGCAGCCCTGTATCAGCAGCACCCTGTCTGTTTGACCTTCAGAGCACCCTGCCTGTTTGACCTTCAGAGCACCCTGCCTGTTTGACCTTCAGAGCCCCCTGCCTGTTTGACCTTCAGAGCCCCCTGCCTGTTTGACCTTCAGAGCCCCCTGCCTGTTTGACCTTCAGAGCACCCTGCCTGTTTGACCTTCAACAAAAATCAGACAATTTTTGCCACCTGTACCAAACAAGCCTATCTGTGTTTTATCTACACCTAAAATACCAAAACAAATCTCCCTGACAGGCCAAGATCTAACACTTTACACAAATCTCCCCCTCCTCTCTTTAACTCCTTACCCATTCCATTCCCCCCCCCCTTTACAAGCAAACTATCCCCACTCCCACACTACCTACCTCAAACCACGCTATCCCCCAACACAATTCCCCGAACCACACTATCCCCCACCTCAAACCACACTATCCCCCCACCACCACCCACAAACCACAGTTTTCCCCACCACAATAGTCCCCCCCCCCCCTAAACCAAACTTTCACCCCATACTTACACAACGGTACACACACCACAAATTCCTCTTCAAACAATGATTTTTACACAAATAATTCGTATTTAAAAAATAGTCACCTTTGCCCCCCCCCCTCCTCCACCCACCGGCAGACCCCATCTACAACTGGATGATGAATACTTTGGTTAACAGCCCGAATTCCCGCCAAACTGAAGCAGACTTAGGTCGCCCAGGGTGGTCTATTAGACAAACTGATCCAGGCTAGCATTTCAGCTATTTCACAATGGTGAGCTAATTTTTACCTTAGAGCTCAAATTGTTGAGCTAAATTTGACCTTTGAGCTCGAAGAATGGGCCAAGAGTTGATCGAGACCTTCTGTAGTGTGGACCTAATGAGCTGGTGACCTTCTGTAGTGTGGACCTAATGAGCTGAAGACCTTCTGTAGTGTGGACCTAATGAGCTGAAGACCTTCTGTAGTGTGGACCTAATGAGCTGAAGACCTTATGTAGTGTGGACCTAATGAGCTGGAGACCTTTTGTAGTGTGGACCTGATGAGCTGGAGACCTTATGTAGTGTAGACCTAATGAGCTGAAGACCTTCTGTAGTGTAGACCTAATGAGCTGAAGACCTTATGTAGTGTGGACCTAATGAGCTGGAGACCTGTAGTGTGGACCTAATGATTTAGAGACTTTCTGTATTGTGGACCTAATGAGCTGGAGACCTGTAGTGTGGACCTAATGATTTAGAGACTTTCTGTATTGTGGACCTAATGAGCTGGAGACCTGTAGTGTGGACCTAATGAGCTGGAGACCATCTGTAGTGTGGACCTAATGAGTTGGAGAACTTCTGTTGCTTTAAAGCCTTTTCTAAAAGCTCGGGATTTTGTACTGATATTTCTACAGATAACTTTTGTTGATATTCTTTAGTTTTGCTTTAAAAAGCTTTAAATTAAAGAGGTTTTTTTTTAAACTTCTTTTATTATCTACTTTTTAATATTTAGAGAAGTTATTAAGAAGTAAGTAGTACCAACTTTATTCTTTTTATTCGGTCAATTAACTGTCCATTAGAAATCCGTGGTCAGTTCTCAGGTGTGAATACAGCTCACTCGAGTGGTCAGCCGACTGGACAGGTGTGAATACAGCTCACCCGACTGGTCTGGTGTGAATACAGCTCACCCGACTGGTCACCCGACTGGTCACCCAACTGGTCAGGTGTGAATACAGCTCACCGACTGGTCACCTGACTGGTCACCCGACTGGTCAGGTGTGAATACAGCTCACCGACTGGTCACCCGACTGGTCACCCGACTGGTCAGGTGTGAATACAGCTCACCCGACTGGTCAGGTGTGAATACAGCTCACCCGACTGGTCAGGTGTGAATACAGCTCACCCGACTGGTCAGGTGTGAATACAGCTCACCCGACTGGTCAGGTGTGAATACAGCTCACCCGACTGGTCAGGTGTGAATACAGCTCACCCGACTGGTCAGGTGTGAATACAGCTCACCCGACTGGTCAGGTGTGAATACAGCTCACCCGACTGGTCAGGTGTGAATACAGCTCACTCGACTGGTCAGGTGTGAATACAGCTCACTCGAGTGGTCAGCCGACTGGACAGGTGTGAATACAGCTCACCCGACTGGTCAGGTATGAATACAGCTCACCCGACTGATTGTTTGGCACAACTTCTTACTCCCCCCCCCCCCTTTCTTGTTAATTATAAACATCTTAAAGTTTATTTTATTAATTCATTTAATATCTGAATAGATTGAAATTAATATATTTTTGTGTTGTCGTTGGAAAGGTTTTCATCCAGAAATCGCTACAAAACATTCGCCAAAAATAAATGACATACACCTAACATTCGCCGAAATATCAAAATATAGCGCTCGCCATAAGACGCGAGCATGACATTCGCCAGAAAAAAGCTAGCTGCAAGCACGCGATTGGCCAGCTACTATTGGTTGATAGCACGCGAACGAGACTTGCCACTTTGGCTTCACATAAAAAAACGTAATAAGTCGAGAGCGGGGTGGGTGGGGGAAATAGTACGGCAGACAAAGATGAGAAAATATCTGGCCAAGCAACTTTCCCACGCCCGCGCTAGTTGGGTACACCTGTTGGCAGGAGCCTCGTTCTGAGTCGGCTAATCGCTGCTTTAGTCAGTTAGTCAGTGTGTTAGTCAGTGTGTTAGTCAGTGTGTTAGTCAGTGCGTATGGTGCGGGTGTATTTGTGTTCATTAGCAATCTGTTTGACGCACTAACTTCAGAAGATGAGGAAAAAAGAAATTGCCAATTTGATTTTGCTCCCCCACCCCCTCCCCCCTCCACTGACGCGTAGATACTCACTCACACACTCAATATTGATACAAAAAAAAAACATGCAAATAATTTCAAGGTCTGTGCCAGGTTTACGACCAATGTGAGGTTTGTGAGATCCGCTGAAGGTCTGGGGGACTAAAATAGATTGAAATGACCTGCGTGTGGCGAGGTTAGGTCAGTGTGACTTGCGAAAGGTCTTTTTGAGTCAAGATGTAAACATTTGTATACAGTCAACTGATCGTGTGACTGGAGGGAAAGATGTGTGTATGCAGTCAACTGATCGTATGACTGCAGGAAAAGATGGGGTGGAGGTGGTGGTGGGGTGGAGGAGGTGGTGGGTGGAGGAGGTGGTGGGGTGGAGGAGGTGGTGGGTTGGAGGAGGTGGTGGGGTGGAGGTGGTGGTGGGGTGGAGGAGGAGAGGTGCTAAAAGGGGAGGTGGGGGTAGAGGGGTGGGGGGTTAAGGGGGTAACCAAACCTTAAGACAATGAAATCGTTGCCGCAGGTTAATGTGTGGGGAGAGACAGCGGGATGTGTGTGTGTGAGAGAGAGAATGTGTTTATCCGTGTGTGTGTGTGTGTGCTGTTTCCACCTAATTGTTTTACCTGAGTGCGTAGGTGTGTTCTTGAGTTTGTGTGTGTGTGTGTGTGTGTGAGCTGGTCCCACCAAATTGTTTTACCTCATTTGTATACTTTCCATTTTTTATTTTCCATTTTTTACTTTCTCTCCATTGACTTTTTTGCTGGTGAGAAAAAAAAAAGATACAGAAGACGCGCATGGTTAGGTAAGGGGATGAGTCATACAGAAAACAAACCTGAATCACGTGACTTGGTGACGTCATGGCTCGCAGAAAGTGACGAGGTGCTGGTGACGTCATAGTCACATCATGTGACGAGATTCTCGTGACATTATGGACGATTATCCGATACTAACCACAGCATTGACCTAATACTGACAACTTAACACCTGACACTGACCAGTTGACCTAACCCTGACCAGTTAACCTAACCTTGAACAGTTGACCTAACACTGACCAGTTGACCTAACACTGACCAGTTGACCTAACACTGACCTGTTGACCTAACACTGACCAGTTGACCTAACACTGACCAGTTAACCTAACCTTGAACAGTTGACCTAACACTGACCAGTTGACCTAACACTGACCTGTTGACCTAACACAGACCAGTTGACCTATCACTGACCAGTTGACCTAACACTGACCAGTTGACCTATCACTGACCAGTTGACCTATCACTGACCAGTTGACCTAACACTGACCTGTTGACCTATCACTGACCTGTTGACCAAAGCCTAACCAGTTGACCTAACACTGACCTGTTGACCTAACACTGACCTGTTGACCTAACACTGACCAGTTGACCTATCACTGACCAGTTGACCTATCACTGACCAGTTGACCTATCACTGACCAGTTGACCTATCACTGACCAGTTGACCTAGCCCCGACCAGTTGACCTATCACCAGAGGCGTAGCGAGGGGGTGGCGGGGGTGCGGACCGCACCGGGTGACACCATTTAGGGGGGTGACACCAATGCAAAAAAATAGCAAAATATATAGAGAAAAACTTGAGGGGGGGGGTGCAAATCGAAAATTTGAGTGGGAGGGGTGCAAATCGAAAATTTGAAAGTTTGTCCCCGGGAAGGGTCGCTACGCTTCTGGGGGGTGACACCATTAAGTGCCGCACCGGGTGACACCCGACCTCGCTACGCCACTGCCTATCACTGACCAGTTGACCAGGTGTATGAGAATCATTTCGTCACCTCACCTTGGTGACCTACACCCCCAAGTGGGTACCAGTAACCTTTTCGAAGTGGGGCCCTCGGGTACACTGAAGTAAAACCCACAGTGTTTTGAAATTAAAGAAAGGACATTTAAAAGAAACAATTGGATGTAAATGCAAATAAACCTGGAGTAATCTCCCCTAAGCTTTCTCGAATATTCTTATATAACACTACGGGGGATCGCAACTCGGGATATAGAAATGATTTTTTATCAGTTTTTAATTACTTAAAACCAACACAAACACACACAGGCGAACACACATACACATAAACACACACAACACACAGACACATAAAACACACGAACACAAATACAAGAACACAATAACGCTCACATGCTCTGTCTCAAGTTGTGGCATATGCCCTTTCTACCATAAGTGTAGGCATATGCCCTTTTCACTCAGCCTCGCATGTGTTCAAACATGGGATGAAACAGGTGTGGCATACCTCCCCCCCCTACCCCCCAGCTCAGCCCCACCCTCTACCCACACCTTTTGTTCCTGTGTCTAGCATCAAAGACATCCTGTGATCACCT